AATGCTGGAAAAAGGGGAGCATTCGCTCCCAAAAGCCAAAAAGGAAGCACCTGTGCTAGAGCCTTCCTGGGAAGTCGAGCTCTTGGGATTTACAAGGAGTTTTCTGACACTCCAGGCCCTTCCCCTACCTTTGCATTGATTCATTGCTTCACTGATGGGTGGGGTGAGTTATATTCTGGCGAATCTGTTAAATACTGTTGGTAAGGATGTGGAAAATGTGACTTACAGTGGAATTATAGTGCAGCAATGGCAATTTTGGGCTCTTCCTATTGTAAATGGAATTAATTGAGATTGAATAGCAGGAGCTGCAGGCTCTTATGGAAAGACCAATTCTTCTCCAGCTGTTTCTGCATCTGCTTAATGCCACAGATTAATGGAGATAATCTGAGTCATACCTGTGCCAATCTCATGACTCTGATGGCATCATACCACTGTCCTAGGAGATTACAGGAAAAGGATCAGGCCCAGAGAGATTGTACAAACGTGTGTTAATCCTAAAACCATGCTGCTAGTTGAATTGCTATGGAAAAGGGCAACTTTTAAAGTTCAGTATGTGGAGAGCATCTGATGTAATAACGAACCCTGGCTGATAGAAATCCTCCCAACCCCCAAGGGGAAAATCCCAGAGCAGCAAAGAAGGCTAAGGGGCTGCAAACCAACACTAAAGTGGCAATCATGTTTTGGGTGCAATCAGGTAGCAGCAGCATCCCAGCTTCTCTTGCACTGGAAGCCTAGTTGGTGTATCTGATGGACACAGTGCTAGGGGCAGTGTTGAAACTTCAGCTTCAAGTCACCAGAGCTATTGCAATCATGCAGTCAAACTTTCTGCAGAGGTTGACCTCATGGAGCCTGGTGGCAGCCAGAACAAAGAGGTGCACCAGGGTTGCTAATTGCAAAACAGCAAGAGTTCATTAAGTAATAAGAAGCTTTTAAAATACAGTAAGGAGTCTAAGAGAAGATGGTTTTTTTGTTTTTTTTTTTTAATGCATGATGAGGTTTGTATTTTGCCTTCAGCGCTGTTAAATCATTGAAACATCTATACTGCAATTTTACAGCTTGCTGGGCTAATAATACACCACGTTTTATTATCTGCAGCTTCTATGCTTCTTTCTAATTACAAGTCTGATACAATAAAAAATATGCCATGTCTGCTTATTCTCATATTTTTCCCTATTCTTCACCTTCCCCTCACTGTGAAGCTCCCTGCTTGCAGCCTGGCATCTGTTTCACGTTGTTTTTAATGCCCAGAAACACACGTGCATGGTAAGCAGCTGGAATGAGGACAGGAGGCTTCAGGTGGGCTGCAGGATGCGTTGATGGCTTTGGTTCAATACCTGCACTGCGCTGAGGAGCATTCAGACGTTACACTGCTCTGATGCAAAGGCAGCAATTTGGGCTGAGCTCACAGGCTCTTTTTCTTGGAGAGCAGAGAGCATCAGGAAATGCATTCCGAGCTGCTGTTGTCTAGTTGTGCAATGCTGCTGCAGGAGGTGGTTGTGTGTGCGTATGCTGCGCTCTAGTGGCTTGTAGGGCTTTGAGGACATGGCTTTGGCAATGCTGGAGAATGTGGCCACCCCAGACCTGTGCAATGGCCATAACCAGTGGTTGGCACCTGAGGGTTCTCCTTATGCTTGTGAGGTGTTGAGCAGAACTTGTCCGTGGTGGTACTCCTCCAAATCCTTTCTTCAAGGAAAGGCCCTCTCATTTGCCTCTGCTGTAGGCCCATATGCACAACATCCTTTGCTAAGCACTATTTTACTGTTGTAGCTCCCTCCTGCTTTACGACTCTGTCTCGTTAATCACTGTTTTCTTGTTAAATTTAGTGGAGCAAGGCTAATTCTATGCTGCCTGAGATTTCAGCCTGGTGTCTTGGATCACACCTGGCCTATTTACTCTGTTTCTTCCATCTTCTCGTTTGCTTGCTCTTCCAACCACATCTCTATATCTGGAGCAGGCCAGGAGCTGTGCATTCCTGGGGCATTAGCTCACATTCCCAAAATGCCACTGTGTGACCATGCTGCCTTGCACTGCTGGCTTATTAAAGAGAAGGCAGTGGTTTCCCAGCATCTCCCCTGGCATCTCCTCCAGGAGGTTTTTCATCTTCTCTCTCCATGGGAAGATGCCTTGTTCCTATTCTAACTTAATTTTCCACGTCTGTCTCACGTTGCCCATGCTGCCAGATGAGCCAGGTACGTTGAAAAGAGCCCAGGAGGTTCCCATAGGTGACAACCACTGATGGGAGGAGGTGGATCCTATTGGGGCGTGAGTAGGTGTCAACAGAAGCACACATTTTTTGACAGGCGTCGTCGTGTGAGAGTGAAATGCTCATCCAAATGCCATGCAGTGAAAGTCTCCCAAGTTGTTTTGCTGCCAAAATTAAAATGGAGCCTCGTTGGTTTTTCTTTCTTTGAGTTTGCAGCTTCAGAGTGAGCTGAGAAAGTGGATTTAGATGAATATTCACATAGTTATGATGGACATAAAAGACAAGTTGTCATTGGGATCTGCTAATTAAATTTGCTATGGCTTTCAGTGAGTTAGGCAGGTACTCATGGGCTGCATCCAAGTATTGAATGAAATAAGGATTTGTTTGAAGGTTGGGGCAGTGCCTGCATCCAGACTAGAGTAAAACTAATACAAATGTGAACTGCTCACCTCAGTAACAGGGAGGATCAGACCTGCAAGCTTTGGAGCTGAAAAGCAGTGAGGAGTTATGGCTTTGGATCAAAGAATGGGTTTCCATGGGAGGAATGCCACAACAAAGCCATGCTGCTTGTGGTTCAGCTAACGATGAGCACACTCAGTGCTGGAGATGCCTATGGTAAAGAGAGTGTTTCATTCCCTGCGATTCTTGCCCAGTGAAATCCAGTTTTTCACCCATGAATAAACCTTGAGAACCACTTTCATTGCTGCACAAAAGAGTCGCTAGGCTTTCATATTCAGTTGCATCATGAAGCTTTATATGGACCTCATTCCTGGCCTCAATAATCACATGGGAGGGCTATTTCTGTAGCTCACAACAAACTGAGGTTCTAATGAGCATGTTCAGGAGCTGCCCTCCTTTGGGGTGAGCTCCATCTCCCCCAGTGCTCAATGCTGGTTTGGCTCAGCACTGCTCTGATTGAATCCCCACATCTCTACATGGAGAACGTGTCTCTTTATGGAATGTTTAATGGGCCAAAATGCACATGAAAGCGTTGATTGAATCTTCACTGACTTCAGAAAATTAATATCCCCGTTTTCTGATCTGAGCATGGTGTGTGATAAGATGTTGACTCACTGAAAGGCACCACAAGACCAGAGGAAGTTTATCTGCTCCTGGTGCTGCTGGTAACAGCTGAGTTACGCAATGGCTGCAATCAGATGTGACTGTAGATCATCTTTTCCGCTCATATGAGAGTCACTGGATGGTGTTTCCCACTGCTCTGATGATGCTGACTGCATTGGGATCATGGGATTATTGGGATTGGCAGCCACGCTCCAGAGCTACGTGAGCTGAGGATGCAGGTGGCTCTAATCACCCACCCAGGGGGGTGATGTGGATTCCAATGGGAGCTTCTAGTTTTCCCTGGAGGAGCCAGTGTCTGTGTTCAGCTGCACGCACAGCTGGACATCATAGTGAGGATGGGAGGTGCTGGCCTAACCAATGATTATGGGTAGAGAAGGACACGGAGAACTCAATGAGGCTTCCAAAGCCATTTGTGTGCAGAAGGAGGCCATGTGTTGGGACAGCCTCACCCCTGGGGTCTACCCAGGAGGTTTCCAAGGCTGGAAGAAGGGCCATTTCTTGATGCTGTGTGCACTCCTCCCTTGACAGATCTCTGCAGATGGGTCTGCCACTGCCTCTCCAAATACCATTCAATCTTACCATGCCAGAGAGAATCAGACAGGAGGTAATTACACTTACTATGGGGAGCTGACATCCAACTACTCATCCATGAGGATGAGTGAGTTGATGCTAGTCACTGTGAGCATTGCACACAGGGCAGCTTGTACACGGAGCTATTAGGCTGTGTCGTGGGTTCCTCATGCCTTTGGGGCACACTTAGCAGCTATATAAAAGGTCAGCTTCCATTAGGGCTCACTGGTCACATCACAACGCCGTTCTCATCGGGAAGCTGGGTAAGTCTGCTTCGTGCTGAGCCTCTGAGGCTGTGGAAATGCAGATTTCTTGCTGCCTTTTTACATATGAAATGCTTTGTGGGCAAGGTTTTTAATGCTAGTGAATGTGAATTGCTGCGTAAGTGTGGAAATGCACTCTTACTGTGTCTCCAGCTGGGTATCCGACCCCAAGGGCCACTTGTGAGCAATCTGAGGAACAGCTGTTAGCAGTAATTGGGGTGCTGCGCTGTAGTTTGCTTTTGTGGGTGTCTGACAACATGCAGAGCTGCTTTGGTGTATCAGGGAACACAGAGCTAGAAGAGCTGTAAGCAGGCTGTGTTCAGCTGTGGTATTGCTGCCCCTTAATTGGCTTTGGCTTCCTAATGAGGATGAACTTGGTGATGTTGAGACCAGGCTGTGAGCTTCTGCGTGTTCATGGTGCTGTGGGGTCAGCAGGCAGTGTTGCCTTGGGTGCTGCTTGTCTCCTGCTATGGCAAATGGGACCTGAGGGTCTGAGATGCATCTGGGTCATGGCTTTTTCTCAACATGTCAGCAAGAGGACATAGGTGGTCCTCAACAAAACCAGAGGGCAAAACCTGGGCTTTGTGGTTGGAAGGCAGCTCTGAATGAGGAATTTCTCCTCTGACCTCAAAAATCAGTTCTTCCTCCTTGCAGGTTAGGTGATGGAGAGGGAGATGAGGTCCAGCGGGATATTTCGTACTGTGTATCTCTGAATGTCCCCACTGTTAGACTTACTGCCATGTTTCTGAGTTATAAGTTACAGGTTGGGTGCAGCTCTGGGACTGTGGCATGGATGGATGCACCTCCAGCACCCATTGGGTGCCTCTCTAAGAGCTCTGCTCTCTCACCTCTCATTCCAGCCCTGCCAAAACCTCACTAAGATGTTGTGCTACCAACAGCAGTGCTTTCCTCCTCTCCATCAAGAGCACATCTCCATTAAGTGCCCCCAAACACACCCTCTGATGCACAGCTGGCAGTCAGCACTGTGCACTCCGCAGTACGTGACCCCCTGTGTTCCCCGGCAGCGGTTTCTGTCATCCAGCTTCTCCCCGCAGCAGTGTGTGACCCAGTGCATACCACGGCAGCAGTATGCAACCAAGTGCATTCAACAGCAACAGCGTGTGACCCAGCACATCCCATCCGCCAGGTGTGTGACAACCTGTGTGCCACAGCAGTCGTGTGCCACCCAGTGCACGTCGCAAGAGCCATGTGTGACCAAGTGCGTGCCCCAGCAGCAGTGTGCAACCAAGTTCATCCCACAGCAACAATGTGCAACCAAGTGCATCCAGCAGCAGCAGCATTCAGCCCGGTGTGTGACCACATGCCTGCCACAACAGCCATTCCAGACCAAGGGAATCCACCAGCAGCACAGTGCGACCGTGTGCATCCCGCAGCACTGCGTGACCACATTCACCCCACACCAGCAGTGTGCAACCAGGTGTGTGACCACATGTGTGCCACAGCAGCATGCCACCAGGTGTGTCTCGCAGCGCTATGTGACCGCTTGTGCCCCGCAGCAGTGTGCCACCAAGTGCATCCCACAGCAGCAGTGTGCAACCAGGTGTGTGACCACGTGTGTGCCGCAGCCATGTGAGACCAAGGATGCAAGCATCTGTGTCCCACAGCAGCACCAGTGTGCCACCAAGGGCGTCCCACAGCAACACCAGTGTGTCACCAAGTGTGTCCAACAGCAGTGTGCCACCAAGGGTGTCCCACAGCAGCACCAATGTGCCACCAAGAGTGTCCCACAACAGCACCAGTGTGTCACCAAGTGTGTCCAACAGCAGTGTGCCACCAAGGCTGTCCCACAGCAGCACCAATGTGCCACCAAAGGGATCCCACAGCAGCACCAGTGTGTCCCCAAGTGTGTCCCACACCAGTGTGCTACCAAGTGCATCCCGCAGCAGCAGCAGTGTGCCACCAAGTGCGTCCAGCAGCACCATTGTGCCACCAAGGGCATCCCACAGCAGCACCAGTGTGCCACCAAGTGTGTCCCACAGCAATGTGCCACCAAGTGTGCCCCACAGCAACACCAGTGTGCTACCAAGTGCATCCCACAGCAATGTGCCACCAAGGGTGTCCCGCAACAGCAGCAGTGTGTTACCAAGTGCGTCCCACAGCAGTGTGCCACCAAGGGTATCCCACAGCAAAGTGTGACTCAGTGCATCCCACAGCAGCCGTATCAGTCAGGTGGAGTAAAAATTTCAAGTCATGCTAAGAAATACTGCTCTGCACCCAAATGGCCCTGGTAAAGAGGAGCAGGGAAAAGGAGGGTCCATGGAAAACCAGTGAGGTATGGCTTTGAGGCAAAGTTATTTATCTTCTTGTATCACCAGCCAACTTATTGCTATTGTTTAATTCTGCTTTATCTCTGTTTTCCAGTCCTTTTCCTGTAGCTCAACTCTATTTTGGGCCAAGGTGCAATATTATTCCTTGCGTTCCAGATATCTGTGGCTTGTTCCTTAGTCTGCTGCAAGAAGTAGTTTAGTGGGATGTTACTAAATTCTCACCTCATTGAAAGGAATAGTTTTAATAGGGGAAAAAAAGTAGAATTGCCAAAGGAGTCCCTCTGATGACAGCATCAAGAGGACCAATGGAGTGCCCAACAAGGGCTCTGGGCTCAGTCTTGGCCTCAGGAGATGATACCCAGGCTGTCCTGGATTCCCCAAGGCTGCACTTTCTCCAAAAGAGTCATTTTTGCTCACAGATTTGGAAGCCAAATGTAAATTTGCTAAGCAAAATGTATCCGAGTCTTGTTCCAACAGCCTTCATTGCAGGAGGTGGCCAACAATCCCTGCTGACTCCGCACTGACTTCAGCGAAGTCCCCGAGCGAGGCAGGATCTCTGGTCAGAGAAGTTGGTTCTGCTGAAACTTTATACGTGAAAGTTTTTTTTTTAATATTCACTTGGTTGCTTTGGTTAATGTGGAAAACAAAGCCTGAAACAAAAGAAAGTCTTGGAAATGAGACTGAAAGCTGTAGCACTACTCCTTTATAAATGTTTGAGATACTGAAGTGATAAACTATGTTCTTTATGCTGCCTGAAGATGTGTACTCTGCATTGTATTGAAAACAAACTATATATATGTATACTTATGATATACATATATATATATACCTAAATAAATATAGTTCTCTGACCTCAGAGTAAACATTTTGTCTTTTTGCCCTTTGGTGGTTGTTCTTTATTACAAACAGTGTCTGTGCAAAATACAAAAATCCTATGGCATGCCCTATCATTAAGAGAATGAATCGGAGGCTGTTCACGCCAAGTGGATGATGCCTTTTGGGAGAGCCAAAACAAGTGATGCAAGAGGAGCTGGGTGTGACCCAGGCTGGGACGCTGCCTTGAATCCTACCTGGTTCTGACCCACTTGGTGACCTTGGGGTGCCACCGTGGGCTGTGTTGAGGGGTTAGGGGTGGCTGTGGTCAGAGTGGGGCAGCTGTGTCCTGTGGGGTGCAGGGTGTGATGGGAGCTGAGATCCCACCTCCTCAGAGCACACATGGAAGATAACTGGGGATGGAGCATGAGTGGCACTGACCACAGCTCTCCTCTCCTGTGTGGAGCTAGGGATGATCTTGCAACCCAGTGCTTCGCATTCTTTTATGGGAAGACCATCACTGAAGGCTTTGGGGAGACTTCACACCAGTGTGACTTCCCTGTAGGAGTTGGGATGGCCACAAAAATCACTCAAGTTGCGGAGCTCATCCCATGGGGTGGAGTGGCCATGAGAGCACAGAGCTCAGATTGGAGCCTGGCGCTGGCCCTGACTCATTGGGTGACTGCAGAGCGGTGTGCCTCGATTTCCCCTGTGCTTAATTGGGAATAATAACAGCCCCCGCAACTCTGCCCTGCGCTACACTGTGCGTCTTCTCAAGATGAAAGGATTTCAGAGGACTTCCCAGATGCTAATTAAGAACGTTTGGATGACAGAGCATGATGCTATCATCGGGTTAGTATTTTGTTACCTTACTGCAAACACTAAAATATACACTAAAATATACATTAGGATTACTTGAAGGCTACCAGGCCTGGTTCTATAGAATGAACTGGATTTATGGAGCTTATAAAAATGTTCTTAATCTGCTTAGCTGCTCTTTCATTCCTGCTCTTGGTTCCTAAAATCTTGGGTCAGATCATTTAATATTAAGAAGGGACATTTCATGGTAAGGAAGATCACTTAATTGTAAGAAGGGTGTTGTAATTCAGGGGAGTGAAGCGCAGCTAATGGAAGCACAGGTAGGAATGAGTGCTTTTGTCTTCAGTTGTGGAAAACAAGGTAAGCCTGGAGAGCGCACGTGTCCCTTTGCTTAATGTTGCTCTTGGAGTTTGGTTTCCTGGCACTCCAATGGTTCAGCAGCTGGAGATATTCTCCTTCTGATGGGTGAGAAATTTTCCACCTCCTCCTCCAAGAGGACAAACTTCAACTCTTTGTTCTCCAGCAGGGAAGACCTCTCTCAGATTCCCAGCATGCTGAAGCACAGTTGATAGGCATCTAATTGGCATTAAAGGGAGAGAGAGAAAAAAAAAAGCTAGGGCCTTTGCTTATGTTGATATGACCGTGTTAAAACTCATTCCCTGCCAGCACTGGATGCTGCTGTTAATTTCCCCTTGGGTTTAAAACTAGCATAAAAAGGGAGAAAAAGAGCGGGAAAAGGGATCTGTGTGTTTAGGACTGCAGGGATTCAGCCATCGTTCCCAAGCTGCCCCAGTGCTGCCCCTTTTTGCTGCCCTTTGTTGTGCTGGGAAGGCATCCCTTCTCAGCACAGGCTCTTGTTTGGTGTGGGTCGTTCCAGCAGTGGCCATGCTTTTCACCCAAGGCCTCCTTAGCCCCAGTCACCCTCAGCTCCTGCGCAGGTGGAGGAAGTCTGCATGCCACAGTAATTACGGGCTGCAAGAAGTTGCCAAGAGTCCTTCCTGGATGGTGTTTTCAAAGGCACCAAAAGGCCTTATGCATGCAGCTCCCATGGAAATGAACAGTCCCTTGGGTGGCCCAGACCCTTTCCTATGTTTATCTCAGCCAATATCTTTCTCTCTGTAGAAAAACACAATTCTACTGCCCTGGATTTGCCACAGTGAAGCAGAGGAGCTGTAGCACCATGCATGGGGACTCACAGCATCAGAACCACTAACAGCACACGCAGGGGATGCCCTTGGCCATCCAGGTGCTCTGCTTAGCATGGGGAGAAGCAGGATATTCTCACAGGATCCTCCAGCTCAGCAATGTCCCCATGGTGCCCCGGTGACAACAGCACGGCCATTCCCTCCAGCATGAAGCTGCACGTGGCCCAGCTGGGACTGGCAGCAATTAGAGCATCGCGGGCCAAACCACCTCACCCCGTAGGGCACTTATTCACTATATAAAAGCTCAGACAGTACAGGGCTCTCCTAGGCACTTCTCTCCGGTTGTTCTCACTGATGAAGTGGGTAAGTCTGGCTTCTCACGGAGCTGCTGAAATGCTGCTTTGTTCCCCTGGGTGGCTGCAGCAGGCGGCGGTCCTGCGCTCACGGAGATGCATCCTATGGGGATGTGTGCGGCTCTGACAGCAGGAACAGCTCTGTGCTGAAGGGAAGGATGTTGGGCAAGCACCTCCTGAAGAACTGCGGAATTGGGAATGGGATTTGTGGGCTTCTCTACGCTTGCTGCTAGGTCTGGTCCAAAGGAAGCTATGGGCTGCGTGAGGGGCTTGGTGCTGTTGGGAGTCAGGCATGAGCCCACATGTGGAGAGGCGGCTTATCTAAAGGATCTGGTGGAATTTGAACAAAGCAACTTTTCAGAGGACAGCAAGAAGCCTATCAACTTCAGAATCAACGTGAAATCAGCAGAGATTCTCCAGCCAAACCTGAACATGTTTACATTTCTCCGTAGGCTAACAGCCAGGGATGCAAACATCTCCCTGGATGTGAATAATCCCCCTATTCTAGAAGCTTTTTATCTTGCTGAGCATCGCCAGATGCTTTGGTATTGTATTTGCAGTAATAGCATTGCTATTGTTGTTTTTCAATGGCTGTTTATATTAGTCAATGATTATTGTAATCATAGTGATAATGATAGCAACACGCAGCGATGTTATTATTAATAGTCACCCAGCGATAGGCTTTTGAGCACTGTACTGTAATTATAGACAGAAAGAGGGGTGCTCAGAAGATGCACTTTTTTTTATGATTACTTAATTACAGACTTTAATTCCTAAATAACGTCAAGATGAAAAACAAAGAAAAATAAAAACCTGAACATTTTCTGAGCACTTTTCATATGCCATTGTTTCCAATACCTGGGCAGGACTGGGGTGAAACCTGCCAGAGATTCTGCCTTGATGCTCCTCCTTCCTTCCTTGGTTTGGCTAAACGGAACGCTCCTGCTGCTTTTCTCTTCTTACTTTTCTTGATGCTTGCCCACAGGACAGCACAAAGCAGGAACTGCAGAGGTGCTGATATGGTATAAGGGACCAGGCAGCGATGGCAGCTCAGCTCAGATGTGCTCCACAGACCTATCCTCACCCTCAGCCCTTTTAACTACGGTTTGGCTTTGTGCTGCTGAGCTGCAGCCACACCTGAGGATTGCAGCATGGGCACACCTTTAATTCTGGCTTGTCTTTCATCCTCAGTGCTTGGGAGGTGCAGGATAGGAACTTGAAAGAATGTCCCAGCGGGGATGGGGGAGGTTTAATATTTAGCTCATTTTTGAAGGGCAGCAAACAGCTGCTTTGTTTTCCTGCCTCTGATTGTTTTGGGGCTCATCAGGATATAGGGGAGGGAGCTGAGAGCAGCTCCTCTGGGTAATCCCAGCTGGGTTCTGAGTCACCTACAGCCAGTGACCTCCAGCAGGACTGGGTGCAGGCATCACCAGGAAACAGCCAATGTGGGTGTGAACTGTCCCTCTTCTTCCTGCTTCTTCCAGGCTTAACAACCTCCCAGGACCATGCACTATTATGGGGAGAGGTACAAACAACTGTACCTGCCGGGCTCCAGCTACGTCACCGAAAGCCACCAGCATTGCACATCCCAACCTGATGCATGCAGCACCACATGCCACCCGCTGAGCATCATCAAGAGCCCGATGCCCAGATGGCAGAGCTACGTGCAGCCTTTCACCTACGTGTGCTCACAGCCCAGCGTGACCCACAGCACGCTGCTGCCCTGCCAGCCCTGTGTGCAGCAGTGTGTCGTGCTGTGCCCGGAGCCCTGCGAGACCACATGTCTGCTGCCCTGCAGGAAGCCCAGCGTGCGGCTCAGCCCTGCACAAGCTCTGCAGTCCTGTGAGAACGGCCACTTGGAGAAGAAACGCGTGGCCAAGAGCCTCCCACCCTGTGCTCCACGGTGCCCAGAGCCAGGCAAGCTCAAGTTCCCACCGTGTGGAATCAGGTATTCATCCTCCTGCAAGGATGAATGCAGGTCAAGGAAGGTCTCCAGGTGCTTGTCACAGCGGTATGCTGCGGAGAACCGCTGCCTGCAGGGGATGACCAGCGGCTATTCCCTGCCACTTCAGGGGGTCACCGAGTGCCCCCCGCAGCAGTGCACGACACAGTGCTTCCTGGAGGAGTACATCAGCCCCTTTCCCCACCAGAAGTGCTCCAAGGGGTACCCAACGCAGGAGTGCATCACCACCTGCACTCCACAGCAGGTGCCCAAGTGCCCCCCCGGCAGCGGGGCCAAGGTGAGCTCATCCCAGCAGCGCCTGGCCAAGTGCTCGCTGCTGCAGGAGGGAGCCAAGCATAAGAGCTCATCGACTCAGCACATCAGCAAGTCCAAGTGCCTCCACCCTTGTGCCATCCAGCGCTCACCGCGGCACCATGCGGGGGATGCGAAGCGTTCCAGCCACTCCAAGAAGAGCCGCTGTGCTTCCAAATGGCTCTGGTGAAGGGGCTGAAGCTGCTGTGACAACAGCAAGCCACGTAGCTGAGGCCTGAGGTTGTGTTTTCCCCAGTTCCTAATCCCTGGAAGTGCTTTGCCCAGTCCTCCCCTTATTGTAATCAATACTAACCTTATATGGTAGCTTGCCTTCCTTCTGTGGTTCCCCTGTAGTTATTCCTGCAACAGAATTTATGTTAAGGAGACACTAAGTAGCTCTGAGCAGGTGCTCAGATTTGAGCTTTGAGCTGATACAACTCTGCTGTAGCATTTGCACTCCAAGAGGTTGTTACTGTTACTTCATCAGTGATGTTAACTGGTTGTGCCCACTGTATTAAATCTCAGGTTGCAGCCAGATCCCCGCTGTCTGCTGTCTCAGTCATTTTCCTTGTGTTTCTGTCGTTTTTTTTTTTTTTATTATTCTTTCCAACACCACCTGACAAGACTGCTCCCTGCTGTTGTGCTTTCACTCTTTGTAAAATGAAGACAGCAGTCGTGCTGTTAGGACTAGAAAGGTTTATGGTAGTGGGAACTGATCCTGGTGCTGGATAGTTGGGCAGAGACACAGCAAAAGCAGCAGCACAGGCTGTGATACAGAGGAAAACTTCATTAGTGCAATGAGATTCATTAGCAGCTGTCTGCTGTAATTTCACCACTGCTGAGCAAATTATGAATTTGGTTCTGGGGCACAGCCCCTGGGATAGCAGAGGTGGGAGGGTGATGCCAAAAGTCCCTGTGATGCTGTGACTCCAGGCTGGCTCTGTCTGCTTTCAAAATGATCAGCATCAACCATCTGCGGTGATGAATCTGCAAACTGGGACAAACAAGTTGCAGCTCCAGCTGTTACCACACGGGGACATCTTCCTAGAGAGCAGGAATCAGTGAATTGCTTGATCAATATTTTGCCTAGCTGGTGTATACACATAAGGCCCCAAAGCACACCACCCTGTTTGTTCACTCAGTGGAGCAGTGCAGGCAGTGGCCCTCTGCCACCACCTAAAGGCGTAGCACAGGACCTGGCAGCTCCTCCCAATGCTGCCTTCATGCTGAGCTGTGTCCTGGCTGCTAAACTCCTCCTGGCCCCTCTGCTTCTTCTACAGCACTATAAAACTCTCCGAGCAGGATTTCCATAGCCTCCTTTTTCTAATAAAGTGACAGATTTGCTCATACAAAGAGACCAATGCTGCTTGCAGTCCTCCCACACTGGAATTGTTACTCCCTGTAGGGAGAGAGCATTCATTTAGGGACATGATTTAGTGGGTTGTTAGAATTAGGGTAGTATGGTTTGGTTGTGGTTGGACTTGATGATCTTGAAGGTCTTTTCCAACCTGAGCAATTTTATGATATTAACTTTAACCCTGGGGAATTAAATGCAAAGAGAAGAAGCTGAGCAAGCTCCTGGTGGCCTCCCCTAGCTCAGCCCCTTTCCTGTCCCATCTCCATGCAAACCTGGCTCCTCCTTCATATCACACACATCACAGAGGCATGGGGATGCAGCCCCACAGAGAGATGGAGCTCCACAGCTCATAAGGGGAAGCTCTGCCACCTGCATTTATGCCGCTTGCACGGCTCAGGGCACTTCACTACTCTCAGCTGCTCTAAGCACCACAGGGCCCATCTTTCCCTTTGGTTTCCATGAGAAAGACCAGCAGAAGAAGGTTTCCTTTTAAAAATTGGAAGTTGTTTCTGTGCTTCTTGCTTTTGAGAAAGGTGTTTGGGCTTTGATAAATAAAAAAGTTGACCTCTCCATTAAATGGTGCCTGGACTTTTGATATTGTTTTATTGGTGAGAGTCAGTAATATAACTCTGTCTTTCACAGAGCAGCTGGAGAAAGGCTGAAAAGCCCCAGGTGCCTTTGGACACTTTGCTCATGCTCATATGGCCCATGCTGTATCGCAAATGAGAGAGCATTTCCCCTCTTCCCTAAGCTGCTCTGGCAGCAGATCCATGCTCCATCACTGTCACTGGGTTGTATCTGCTCACAGAGAACTCAGGAGCTCTGCAAAGAGCTGATGGCCCCGAAGGTGAGATGGCCCTGAAGTTGACATGGCCCTGTTGGCCCTGAACGTGAGGTAGCTCTGGTGGCCCTGGAGGTGACATGAGGCAGTGCTGCATCCTTGTGGCAGTGAAAGCCAACCACAGGCTGCCTGAGCCATAGTGTGGGCAGGAGGAAAGTGATGATTTGCCTTCCATTGGCACTTAGGAAGCCACATCCAGACCTCAGCATCTGTCTCTGAGCGTTCAGCTGGGAAGTGGCAACAAGCCAGGGCAGGGGGAGTGAGAGGAGAGCTTGGTGGGTTCATCTTATTTCTGCCTTCACTCACCACATAAGGGTTGAGAGAGGATGGGCTCTTCTCTGATGCACACAGCGATAGGGTCAGCTACTAAGCAGTTTTCTTGGTGTTTAATTTCACTTGGTACAGCCTTGTAAATCCTAGCACTGAATGCCCTGTCCAGACAAGCTCCATAGTGACCACTATTATTAATTGGTGCAGGATGTCCAGGATTGGGTTGCTAAGCCCAATCCCAGGTTGGCTTTGTGCAGATAACGTCTGAAAATTGAACAGATGAGGAGATGTCAGTGAGTTTCCAGTTTGTGTGTTTGGGTGCCCTGCAGGTAAAGCAGCACAGAAACAGGAATTTCCTAGTTTCTGAGGAACATGTAGCACAATTATATGCAAACTGTCTGCCACCCCTATTAACAGAGCTCAATAGGGCTCTATGGGGAACCCAGAATCCTGGCACTGGCTTTTCAGATAACTTTGTGTGAACTTTTCATTGTCATTTGTGAAAGAATGGGGAAAATATCCCCGACAACTGAGACTGGTAAGGTGAGATTGCCACACAGCAAGGAACGTCAAAGCATTTCCAAAATATTCATTATCGCTTTATGCACGCAAAGAGTTTTATCATTATACTATTAATAGCATGTTAGCTGAGATAAACACCTTAGGGCTGAGTAATAGCACCTTAAAAATATGCATTTTTTGATTGAAGTGCCTACGCTGTTCCCACAAACAGGATGTTGTTTTGAGCCCTGATAACTCACAGCATTTCACATTTTCATTAAGTGCTGCATTTCTGTTTGCAATCAAAAGCAGTCATTCCGAATGGGTTAGAAGGGCTTCTGCTCATATCCCCACACACCAACAGTTGCATCTCCCCATTGTCCAGACTGTTCAGATGAACCCTTCCTGACTGTTTATCACATCCACTGCTCAGAGCATCCATAGATGGAGACTCCACGACATCTCTCAGCAATTTCTGCATGTCAGTAATCACGTGAATAAAAAAATTACCCCCTGCTTAATTCTCCATGATGGATTTTTAGCCCATGACTTCTTCTTTTGTCTTCACCAAGTATAAACTGCAACTGAATGCTTCAATTTTTCTAACTACCTCTAATCTGCAGACATTCTTACCTTATCTCCCCCCGGTCTTCTGTTCTATAAGTGGGCATCCTTCAGGATTATGTATTTTAAGCTTCTGATCTCGGTGACTGGTGCCAGATGCTCACCAGCTGGTTGATACCTAGAGCAGGAGTGGGGATACTCAAGTAGAATGTCAGCTTCCATCTATAAGGCTGTGACAATAGTTTGGGGAAAAAGGAGCAGGAACCAAATAACCAGATTTGTTCCACAGTCACCAAAACTGGGGATGTGAAGTCAGAAAAACTTTGCTCTCCCCTCCTCCACAGTGCTTACAGAGATGAACAGAGCCCCCATGTAAGCGTGGGGTATGGTGGACGTAGGGGCCTGAATTAAAGATCCCATACCTTGGTGCATATCATATTGCACATCTGCAATGCTTTGTTTGTCATCTGCAAACCACTGCTTGCACAGTCAGCACTGAAGCCAAATCCAGACAAACTGGAGCTCAGTGCATTCCCACGCTAAGGCGGGCGGAAGTGGGAGAATCACATCAGCACCAAATTCAGACCATAAAGATACACAGGGGAACCCTGCAGCGTGTAACAGTATGTACTGCTGAGAATTGAATAATGTTGGTAAACAATGTTAAAATAATTATAGTAATTATAAGTGTTACACATGCGGGAAAAATTGTTTGGAAAGTAATTAAGACCTCATGCACATGTCTCATCTTCCTGGAAGTTGAAGAAGGAATATAAAACTCAAAGGATTCAGAGCTCCTCTGGCCATTTCTCTTGACTTCCTCCTGGACAGCTGGTAAGTCCCATTCACATGTATCTAAATATATCAAACAAGGTGTTTCTTTATCAGCTGGGATTTAAAAGCAAAGCACACTGGTTTCTAAAAGTAGAAGGGGGATTCTGTCTAGAGAAGTCTGCTAGAAATTACCTGGTTGTAAACCTGGACTGTGTTCAGCCTCAAAAATGCTTGAGAGGACATTCGCTTCCTCATTAAAAATGAAATGTAATTTTCTTCTTATTAAGTAATTGTATATATCTTCATGTTACCTAATAAGAATTATATTCTAAGCCTGATTTGGGTAGAGTTTGGGTAACTTTTTCCATTAAAGATTGGAAAAGAACCGAGATGTTCAGGCGGGGTGTGCAATGACAACCATACTTGCATGTGGAAAGAACAGAGTTCACTTCACTAAGAAGTACTGTCTCCCAGACTTTGCCATCACTTGCTGCTCTGTTCGTAGCTGGAGCCTTCCTCTTTGGGTTACACTTTATTGGAGCATTAAGAGGAGGATGTACCTCTGCAAAGACAATAGTTTTCATGCTGAGCGATTTCAGGGCTTTTGTCACGAGAATATCTGATGCTGAGCACTGACAAATAAGAAATGTCACAGGAGATGGTGAGGGGATCCCCTAGATAGTTTTGTGCTGATGTGGTGCCCGGTGCAATCTCAGCAGAGGTGCAGAATCCTATTACAAGAGATTGTCTGAATTAGGACTGGGTGTGCTTTGTCACAGACACCACAGTGATCCCAGAGCACTCATCCATTTGGCAGAGCAGGGATATCAAACACCCAGTCCTGCATGATGAGCAGCTTTGTGGCACAAGCAGTGCTTTGGTT